TGAAAATGTATATATATATATATATATATATATATATATATATATATATATATATATATATATATATATATATATATATAACTAAAACATTACTAATTACTACTATTCCTACGTTGCGGTTTTTCACGTATCGCAGGATCTCAGGTTACGGATCCACCACGAGAAATGAGGGACTACTGTCCTCTTATTCTGATTAGGTAGGACAAACATTTTTTTAGCAGCAGACTCTTTAAGGAATAGAAGTTTAACTCAGCAGAACAGTTCATGTCTGTATGAATTAAATTTGGTGTTATCAAAACAACAACAAACAAACAAACAGCTTCCCACAGCACCTCCAGGAACCGTCAGAACAAGGTGAATGGACTTCAGCTGTCAGGGATTTATGATTTGTAAACAAATGTTTACCTGCTGCCATACAGATATTTTGCTGATTGCATCATTTTACAGCAGTAATTTAAAATACACGACCAGAATCTTGATTTATGCTCCTTTAGACTGAGATCATCTTGTGTTTAAAGAGACAGAGTTAGAGTCATTTTAGCTAAAATGTTTAAAATGTTTATCTAAAATGGGTTCAAGCAGAACATTGAGATAAAACATGAACACACACTCATCTGTACGTTCACACTTACGATACTAGTGCCAAGATCTTCATCTGTGATGTCCAGAGAGTCTCTGTGTCTGTTAAAAGTCCACGCTGTCCCGTCTTCACACGTCCCCTCCCAGCATGTCAGATGAGACACCTGCCGTGACTGAAACAAACCACACACTTGAAACGTTTTGACACTCACTCTTCAATCAGTCTGTTTCTCATTCGCACCTATTTTACAGTGAGACCGGTGCGTTTACCAGTGTTTTATGAGTGGCATAGAGCTCCTGCAGGATTTGATCCACGATGGAGTTGGTGAGATAGGAAACCACAGACAGCTTCACTTCTCTGAGGAGGATTGGGTTTGAAGCAAAGGGGAGGAAAGAGGCTTAGCAAAAAGAGCACAGTCAATATCCTACTTATCAAATCCAGACATTTTGTTGCCTCTCTTACTCCAAAGCTCTGTGAACGTCCTGTGCAGCTCTTTCCATGAGGGCAGTGCGGATCGCAGAGCGAGGGATGGACACACGCTCAGAGACAGATGAGAGTGGAGGACTTAATCTCTCGGCTGCAAAGGAAGATAAAGGGCAGAGCTCGCGGCAGAGTGACACCATTGAGTCGACAATCACCTGAAACGGATGCCAGTTAACAATGACTCTGTCATCTGTCGGGGATCTCACTATAAAAGGCGGCTGTTCGATCTACCTGCAGCTCTTTATCTGCAGCTTTGGCAAGTTCAGCAGCCAGAGAGTCCAGCCTCTGCCTCACCGGTCCATCCACAGACAGCACATGAGCCAGCTCACACAGAGAAGGATAGAGCTAACAGCAAGAGAAAGAACAAATCAGTTAAACGTGTCCCCAATTTAAATAAACTTTGGTACATTGTGTAAAATGTGATAAAATAAAAAAAATAAACAATGCTATGATTTGCAAATCTCAAACTCCTTTTTATTCACAATAGAATACAGTAAACATGTCAAATGTTTATATTAAGAAGTTGTACTAATTTTAGAAACAAAAAAAAGTAATTTTGAGCCTTTATGGTTAACATCACAAAAAGTTGGGACAGGACCATGTTTGAGGAGGCCTGTTCTAGTTTGTGGATCAAACTATCCCACTCTTGTCTGATGTGGGATTCTACCTGCTCACCTGTCCTGACTCCTCTTCGATGGAGTTTTGTTTTATGATGTGTCTGGTTTCATTTGGTTAGAGTCTGGTCTGGACGACATCCAGTTCAGCACCTGGAGTTTTCTACTTCAAAGACATGCTATGTGAATGCTATCTTTAGATAGTTTGTCCCATTCTTCTTTGCAGTACTTCTCAAGTTCCATCAGGTTGGATGGGAGTCATCTGTGCAGCCATTTTCAGATATCTCCAGAGATGTTCAATCAAATTCAAGTCTGGACTCTGGCTTGGCCCCTCCAGGACCTTCACAGAGTGGTCCTGAAACCCTTCCTTTCAGATCTTGTCCATGTGCTTTGGGTCATTGTCCTGCTGTCTGGGGGTCCAGAGCTCTCTGGAGCAGGTTTTCATCCAGGATGTCTCTGTACATCGCTGCATTCATCTTTCCCTCTATCCTAACTAGTCTCACAGTTTCTGCTTCTGAACCCCCCCCAAAAAAACCATAGCATGATACTGCCACCACCATGCTTCACTGTAGAGATGGTGTTGTTCTGGTGATGAGTGGTGCCTGGTTTCCTCCAAACATGACGCCTGACCTTCACACCAAAGAGTTCAATCTTTGTCTCATCAGACCAGAGAATTTAGTTTCTCATGGTCTGACAGTCCTTCAGGTGACTTATGGTGAACTCCAGACGAGCTGCCATGAGCCTTTTATTAAGGAGCGGCTTTCATCTGGACACTCTACCATACAGGCCTGACTGGTGGATTGCTGCAGAGATGGTTGTTCTTCTGGAAGGTTCTTCTCTCTCCACAGAGGAACACTGGAGCTCTGACAAAGTGATCGGGTTCTTGGTCACCTCCCTGACTAAGGCCCTTCTCTCCCGTTCACTCAGTTTAGCCGGCCAACCAGCTCTAGGAAGAGTCCTGGTGGTTCCATACTTCTTCCATTCATGAATGATGGAGGCCAGTGAGCTCACTGAGACCTTCAAAGCAGAAGAAATGTTTCTGTATCCTTCCCCAGATTTGTTCCTCAACACAATCCTGTCTCGGAGGTCTACAGACAATTCTTCTGACTTCATGCTTGGTGTTTGTGCTCTGACATCACTGTCACCTGTGGGACCTTCTATAGACAGGTGGGGGCCTTTCCAAATCAACTCCAGTCAACTGAATTCACCACAGGTGGACTCCATTTAAGTTGTAGAAACATCTCAAGGACAATCAGTGGAAACAGGATGCATCTGAGCTCCATTTGGAGCTTCATGGTAAAGGTTGTGAATACTTACCTAAATGTAATTGTTTAATTTTCTATTTTAATAAATTTGCAAAAATCTAAAAATGTTTTTTTACATTGTCATAATGGGGTAGGTTGTTGTGTGTATAATTCTGAAGAAAGAGATAAATTAAGTTGGAATAAGGCTGTAACATAACAAAAAGTGAAGCGGTACCAACGAGGTGGCAGTACACATCCAGAGTGGTCAACACAGTCTTTGAGAAGATAAATGTCCTGAAGGAGCTGTTTGATCTCATAATGGAGCATCATGATGAGTTTGATGAGGACACTGTACTGTGATTATAGACTTAAAGCACATCTGGATGATTTTGAGTTTTGTTTATTGCTTCACACATTCAACAGCATTACTGAGTATTCAGACTTGCTTTTATCAATACTGCAGAGCCAAACACTGGATGTACAGGTTGGTCGGGCAAGCATGAAGAAGTTTTGTGACACTGTTGAGCAAGAGAGGGGCAGATTAGTACAAATCTACGAGGCTACTGTGTATGCCTCAGGCCCACCAAGTGCACGTAGGCTCATCCTAAGATCCTCAGGCACACTACTACTAACTCCACAGCAATATTCTGGACAATGCTATTTGTCAGATACAGAACATGTTCAAGACCATGAAAAATTAATGTTTCTCATGCTACTCATTCCCCAGCAGTTTCAGGCGCACTGGAAAAAATTCCCACACACAGCCTTCTCCAACTTAGCACACAGTCATGGACCACTATTTGGTCTGTCATGGCTGAAAACAGAGCTGACTGTAATGTATACCGTTTTTGCCTTCAGCAGAAAAATCTGAATGAGAGCAGAGTAAAGCTGAACCCATTGGCATGTTTAGCCGTGACCGTCGCTCTATCCACTGCTTCTGTAGAGCGGACGTTCTCGGTCCTAAAAAGAATTAAAATATGTTCCAGAAATGTGAAGGGGCAGGCTCAACGGTCTGTGTTGGCCTCAAAGGCAATTGAAAACTACTTGTTCTTTCGGCTTTTCCTCCACGTTTCATTCATTCATTCCTTCAACCTTTATTTAAACAGATAAGTCACACTGAGCCTCGAAGACTCATTTACAAGTGAGACCTGTTTGGAGACAATAAAAGTGGTGAAAATTATACACAGGGTTTAGAGACAAAAAATTCCCAACATGCTTTTGACCTCTGTTTGAAGATCAAAAATGTGATAATGAAAAAAATCTTGCACACTGGCACATAATGACACCGACATTACGCAATGGGGGGGGGGGGGGGGTGTAAAGTGGTGAGCAGCCAGGGACAACACACAGAGGCACTGCAAAGTTCAGATAAAATCACTCAGTTCATAAAGTTCTCTCTGGAGAGATCTGTGCACCCTCGGGTGGTGTCGAGGATGACCAGAGACGAATCCAGAGTCCTGAAATGATGACAGAATGTTTATTCATCTGGGCTCCGCTGAAAAGTCCATGGAAAATGTCTCAGTAGTCAGGGACGGAGGGGTTAGAGCATCATGTTTACAAAACTTCCAGGGGGGTTGATATAACATGGCCTGTCAAGGCCAGTCAGGGAGCCAAATTCATCCATCCATCCATCCATCCATTAACTTTACCCGCTTATTCCATTTTGGGTCACGGGGGTCGCTGGTGCCCATGTCCAGCGGTCAATGTGCGAGGGGCGGGGTACACCCTGGACGGGTCACAAGTCCATCACAGGGACACATAGAGACAAATGAGACAAACAACATTCACTCTCTCACTCACACCTAGGGACAATTTAGAGTTACCAATCAGCCTAACATGCATGTTTTTGGTCTGTGGGAGGAAACCGGAGTACCCGGAGAAAACCCACGCATGCACGGAGAGAACATGCAAACTCCACCCAGAAAGGCTCCTGGACTGGGGTTTGACCCAAGGACCTGCTAGCTGAGAGGCAGCAGCTCTACCAGTTGTGCCACCGTGCTGCCTGAGCCGAATTCAGATAAACATGATTGTTTTGTCCTGATGCATGCTCAATAATCCAGGTAGAAAAACCTAAAAAAAGTTAAATCTGGTCCTCTGGACATTCAAAAACAAAGCAAAACAAAAAATGTAGAAACGTTTCGTCTCTCATCCGAGAGACTTCCTCAGTCTGAGGAGCTGTATTCAGCTCAGTCTCTTAAATAGCACCTTCACAGAGTGGATCAACCAGTTTTGCTGCTGACAACCAAAACCAGCTGATCACATGATCAAGAAGGACCATCAGCCTAACAATGGGTCATTAGCACACTCATGGCTGTTTACTGTTCACAGAGGGCTGAGTGATACTAGCAATCACAGCATTGTAAGAGGGGGACAGTTGAACCCGGAGGCCTCCACCCCTGTTTAATGATGGACGATTTCTTTTCACAAAGATGGCCTCCTTTACTCCTCTCTCAAACCATCGTTCCTCTCTGTCCAGGATGTGAACATCTTCATCCCTGAAAGAGTGACCGCTGGCCTGGAGATGAGTGTAGACCGCAGAGTCCTGGCCTGATGATGTTGATCTTCTGTGCTGGGCCATCCTTTTGGCCAGTGGCTGTTTAGTTTCCCCGATGTAAGACTGATCACCCTCCTGACACTGAACAACATAAACAATATTACTCTGTTTGTGCCGGGGGACTGGATCTTTGGGATGAACCAGTCTTTAATGTATTTTGGGGTTTAAAAGCCACTGGGACGTTATGTTTAGCAAATAAACGTCTCAGTTTCTCTGATACTCCCTCAACATATGGAATGGCCACTGGTCTGGGTTCCTTCTTTTCACCTGTTGGCTGACTGGAGTCCTGTTTGGGTTTCTTCTCTGCTTTCAGGAAGGCCCAGTTAGGATATTTTGTGGCTGTGGCTGAGTGGTTAGAGCAGTCGTCCTCCAATGCAAGAGTTGGGGGTTCGAACCCCACAGCAGTCACATGCCGAAGTGTCCCTGGGCAAGACACTGAACCCCTCATTGTCTCTGATGTGTGTCCCATCAGAGTATGAATGTGATAAAGCTCTGATTAGTCTCTTTAGAATGATTTGTTCAATGAGCTTTGTAGATATCTAGTATAGAGCTGTATGAATGGGTAAATGAGGCACAGATTGTAAAGAGCTTTGAGTATCTCAATAAAGATAGAAAGGCGCTATATAAGTCCAGTCCATATCCACATTGCTCTAGAGCCTGTCTTGTGTGGGATTTCTCCTTCTGCCTGGCTCCTGAGTTAGTGGGGACGCTGTCTGCTCTGTGGTACAGAGTCCTGATGACTCCTAACTTGTGCTCCAAAGGGTGATGGGAGTCAAACTGCAAGAAAACCTTGGCTGAATGCAGAGGTGCGTACCCTGCTGGAAGCCAGGAACACTGCCTTCAGGTCTGGAAGCTCAGAGGAGCTGACAAGAAAAGAGCTGGTTGCTGGTATTAAGAGGGCCAAGGCCACATATGCAAAGAGGATCGAGGGTCAATTCATCTCACAAGACCCTCGGAGCATGTGGAGGGGCATTAAGTGCATAACGGATTATAAAGGAAGGAGTGAACAATGCCCCAAAGACCCATCTCTGCCTGATGCCCTCAACAAGTTCTATGCACGCTTTGAAGACCCGAACAGACCACCCAGCACCAGACTCACCTCGCCACCGGATGAAGAGCATCTCAGCGTGACCTCAGCAGAAGTAAGGAGTACCTTCAGGAGGATTAATCCGCACAAAGCAACTGGCCCAGACAACATCCCCGGAAAAGTGTTGAAGGAATGTGCTGATCAGCTCTGCGAGGTGCTGGCAGACATCTTTAACACCTCACTTACCCTGGAGACAGTTCCCACCTGCCTGAAGACTGCCACCATCATCCCAGTCCCAAAAAGCTCTACAGTGACTGGTCTGAATGACTATCGGCCAGTGGCCCTCACCCCGATAGTCGCTAAATGCTTCGAAAAACTGGTCATGACTCACATCAAAACAACCATCAACATCAACGAGGACCCTCATCAGTACGCATACCGTGAGAACCGATCAACACAGGATGCAATCTCCTCTGTGGTCCACACTGCGCTCAACCACCTGGAGCAGAAAAACTCTTACGTCCGTATGCTCTTTGTGGACTTCACATCCGCCTTCAACACCATGATCCCCCAAACTCTGATGGACAGACTATCCACACTGGGACTAAGCCCCTCCATTTGCAGCTGGGTACTAGACTTTTTAACAAACAGACCACAGTTAGTGAGGATCCACAGCCTCTCCTCCTCCACCATGGCCCTCAGCACTGGCTCTCCTCAGGGATTTGTGTTGAGCCCCCTCCTGTTTACTCTGCTCACATGTGATTGTGCAGCTACCCATCCAGGCTGTCACATTGTAAGGTTTGCAGATGATGCAGCGGTGGTGGGATGCATCGCAGGCAATGATGGGTCCAGCTACAGGCAGGAGGTGGAACACCTGGAGAGCTGGTGCGGAGAGAATAACCTTCACATCAATGTGAAGAAGACAAAGGAGATGATTGTCGACTTCAGAAGGAACAAACACACCTACACCCCACTGAACATAAGAGGATCTGCGGTGGAAGTGGTCTCCAGCTACAAGTACTTGGGTGTACACATGAATGACAACCTCAGCTGGAGCAACAACACCACCAGCCTGATCAAGAAAGCTCATCAGAGACTCTACTTCCTCAGACGGCTGAGACGAGCTGGTCTGGAAGCTCAGTCCTCACCTCCTTCTACAGGTGTGCAGTGGAGAGCATCCTGTGCTCGAGCATCAATGTGTGGCATGGAGGCTGCACAGCTGCAGAAAGAAAAGCTTTGCAGAGAGTGGTGAAGGCTGCACAGAAATCTGTTGGAATCAGCCTCCCCACCATCACAGACATCTACACCTCTAGATGCAGGAAGAGGGCCACCTGCATCATGAAGGACCCCACCCACCCAGCACACACACTTTTTGCCCCACTCCCCTCAGGAAGGAGGTTAAGGAGCATTAAGTGTGGAACCACTAGACTGAGGAACAGCTTCTACCCTGAGGCTGTTAGACTCATGAATCTCTAACTAGAATAATCACTGTGAAAAACCATATCATGTTGCTGCTGATCTGTTTCAATGTTGATGTGTTCATGCGTGCACATCTGCTCACAGACTCATGTTCATGTTTGTGCTGATGTTCAATGTTTTATGTTATGAGTGCTTAGTGTATATTTAGTTGATGTTTTTCTTAGTTCATATCTTAGATGTTATTACTGTTTTTCTTATACATTTTATTGTCGGATGTAATGCTGTCTGCTCTGTGGTACAGAGTCCTGATGACTCCTAACTTGTGCTCCAAAGGGTGATGGGAGTCAAACTGCAAATACTGGTCTGTGTGGGTGGGTTTGTGGTACACCTCAGTTTGCAAATGTCCTCTATCAGAGACTGAGACCTCACAGTCCAAGAAAGCCAACTTGCCATTTTTTACATCTTCTCGTGTGAACTTGATGTATTTATCCACAGAGTTGATGTGGTCAGTAAAATGTTGGACTTCCTGAGATTTAATTTTAACCCAGGTGTCGTCAACATACCTGAACCAATGACTTGGTGGTGTCCCTGAAAAGGACGTCAAGGCTCTCTTTTCTACCTCCTCCATGTACAGGTTGGCAACAATAGGAGAAACTGGAGACCCCATAGCACACCCATGTTTCTGCCTATAATATTGCTCCCCATATGTGAAGTAGGTTGACTGCAGGCACAGTTTCAAGAGTTGACACAGTTGTTCTGTAGAAAGTGTGGTCCTGCTGCTCAGAGTGGTGTCTGATTTTAATCTTAAACTGACCACCTCTACTGCATCATCAACAGGAATGCACGTAAAGAGTGATGTGACATCAAAAGAGACCATTGTTTCATCAGTCTCCATGATGACATCCCTCACCTTGTCCACAAAGTCCATGGTGTTCTGTATGTGGTGTTCTGAGCTGCCAACTAAAGGGATGAGTACAGACGCCAGATATTTGGAAACATTGTAACTCTGTCACTTATAATGTGGGTAGAAACCGGACTACCCGGAGAAAACCCACGCATGTATGGAGAGAACATTCAAACTCCACCTGGAGAGGTCCCCAGCCGGGATCTGATCCAGTGACCTTCTTGCTGAGGCAGCAGCTCTACCAACTGTGCCACCGTGCTGCCAACATTTGAAATGTTTACAAATATTATTTGCTAAAAAAATGTTGTTTTTCTAGAGTTGCAAATCATTGTGTTTAGAATTAATTAGACACAACATGCCAATTTTTTCCAAATTGCAGCTGTTTAATACAAGAATTACACAAATAATAAAAAATAATTTAGTATTACTCACAGCGCGGGAGTTCCTTGCTTCTTTCAACACTTGTTTTGCAGCTTGGATCTCCTCCTTCTCTCCAGCCCCACGTAACAAACACACCTGCTGCTGGACGCGCACACAGAGGCGCTCCATCACCTGGAGCAACAAGCAGGTGTGGTTGGTGAAAATGTATTGAAGACGCATAAAACAGCAAAAAGTCCACTTGAATGAGTGCTACCTGTTCAGCTGTGCTGGTGACCAAGCCTTGGTGCAGCCGCAGAGCCTGCCGCTGAGAGAAGCACTGGGTCTGGTTGTTCCTGACCAGGGCACGCTGGATCTGTGGCCCCAATTAGAAGAAAAAACAACAACGACTTGTTGAAGCTTGTCTTCTTTTTGTTGTAACTTTAATCATTAAATTTTAGCTTTCTCAGCAAAGTTCAGCAGTCATTCAGCACTCAGCATTGTATTTTGGTATTTTCACAGAAAAAGCAGTGTACAAAGTAGATTTCAGCTGTCTTTAACCAACTGCAATCTATAACATCAGGTAATCTACAGACTATTTTAACACAGCAATCAGTTCTACGTTACACTGTTATTTCAGCCAAAACATGACTAGCCCAGATTTCCACTAGCAAACAGTTATCTACATAGATTTCTACGTAGATTTTCGTAATGTAAATTTGATGACAATGTAAAAGTATATTAAAACAACTTTTGCATGAATCACCACAACATTGTGGAGATTTGTGATAATCTATGACAACAAAATTCCACTGTGGTCCAAAACCCACTCAGAATAGCTGTTAAGTCATCGGTCCTGTCCAATTTATGCTCTGTTTCTCCAAACTGAGGCCTCCAGTGACTTATTAACATATTTTTTGGACTATAGGGCGCAGTATCAATGAACGGGTTTGTTTTCATACATAAGGCGCATTAAACGAAACAAAACAGTCAGATAAGTCAAACTTTGTTCAACTCATTCACAATAACTCAACATTGTTCAATTGTACCACATAAAATGTGTTCGAGGTCAGTAAGCACAACCAGAATTAATACATACGGCGCACTGGATTATAAGGCTTACTGTCAATTTTTGAGAAAATTAAAGGGTTTTAAGTGTGACTTATAGTCCGAAAAATACGGTAGTCTTCTTCGGCTGGAAACTATTTTCTGATTTGTTCTATTTATGTGACATCCTATAGTGTTGTGAAGAACAACGGTTTCAAAATTTAATTTGTATTCAGGACAAATAGCGGTAAAACAAACTTATCTAAAGATCTACTTTGGGTGAGTTTGGACCAGTAAATAAAAAAAACATTTCAGAGACCAGCGCTGCGCTTGATGAAACATCTGGTTCTCATACCACAGAGTAAAACACCTCGTCATGACCTTTTCAGGGAGGCTTCTGACAGTGATCGATGCATGATGCCTACCTTTGTCAGGGCCTGCTCGGTCTTCTCAGGAGCGCTGCGGTACGCCTGGCTGATGTCACTCAGGGGCAGAGGCATGTACTGCAAGGTGAAGTTACTAAGGAAGGAGAGCAGAGCACGATGGAAGGGACTGCTTATCAAAGGACATGAAACCAGACTGAAGAGGGGACTTAAAGGGAGTTAAAATGTTCACAATTAATAAAGGTTAACACCCCACAGGACACGGACCATCCCAAAAGCTTCCTCCTGTGCCCCGCAGCTACTGGTCTGTGCAGCCATGCTCAGCCTTAAGGTGAGTCTGGACTAAAGTTAGCAAGTCTGTTCATATTACAGCTTGCACTGAAGGCATACATTTAAAAAAAAGGTCAAATAGTTCCTTAAAGATAGTTTCTACACAAAACAAATATTGTACTCTTGCATAAATAGAGCAGAATGTGTCAAATATAAACAAAACAAGTTATTTATTCATGTTCTTACTGTTCAAGGGCTCGGGCCACATCCAGAAATCCTGCAGCAGAGGTGTTGTTGCGGTCCCACGTCACACTCCTGCAGGGCCAAGTTGTAAGAAGCACAGAAAACAAATCTCCATACATGACACTACATACTGCAAATACTGCGAAAAACACAGAAATACCTTTATCGTGAGCATGAGTCTGCATTCAGTCGTTTTCCTCTTTATATTGTTTCGGGTGTTTTGCATTCAGAATACTTCTCGAGTATTGGTCAAAAAACCTTCAGCTCATTGGACAACAGCCTGCTTCCACTTTAGTTTTTTGTGGCTTATATACTTTTCCAAATATTTACCTACAGTATTTGCAGAATTTTTCCTTATAGAAATACATTGAAGTCTCTTCAGTTCCTTCAAAATCTATATTTTCTTTAAAATCAGCTTCAGTAAACTTGATCTGTTTATCTTATAATTTTAGCTTTTAGGCAGCCATCTGCTACGTTTGCCTTTAGCTAGAGTTTTCCAACTTTTAGCTTTTAGTTACTGTTTTGTTGCTTTTAGTCATCGTCAAATAACTTTTAGCTGCAGCTTTGCTATTTTTAGCTTCAGCTCTTTTGTTAATTGTACCTATTGCTGATTTTAGTTTTATCAAGTGTTGTGCTAAATTCAGCCTTAGCCTTTGTTTTTTTTTAAATTCTAGTTACTGTCGTGCTTGTTTTGTTTTTAGCAAATAGTTTTCTAATTTTATTTACTGGTTAGCTTTTATCTTTAATCTTCTGTTCTGCTCGTTTTAGCCTCTGTCTCTGGTATTTCACTTTAACAGCTTAATTTTAGCTTCTTTGCCTTATTTCAGCAAAGTGATCCAGCACTCAGCCTTCACAATGATCTTTACAGGAAATGACTTTTAGTTTTTTGCTTTGTGTTCCTCCTGTCACCTGAGCGTTGTGTTGATCTGCAGGGCTTTGCTGAGCATCTTGGCTCCGATGTCGTCCATATTGTTTCCACTCAGGTCCACTTTCCTCAGGCAGGTGTTGCTGCCCAGAGCGTTGACCAGTACAGTGCCCCGAGAGCGCAGGCGTGACTCACACAGAGACAGAGACTGCAGGCCCTGCAGGAGCAGAGGGAGCAAACCATGGGGGTTTGTGATGGTGGGGGACAATAAAAACCAGGCTGAGGAAAAAAGATAACCTGGGGGGAAACGGCTGATGATAAAGTGCTGAAGTGGAATTTTCTTTCACGGATGCTAACCGAACTTTACATGATGAATGCATGAATTATTACACACGAGCCATGATTTTTAGAGTATGCTTGCACTGTGGACAGAGGGAGAATAAAAGCTCCCACATACTCGGGCGTACTTCAGTTCGCAAGTACCTGATTAGACTCGAAGCGGACGCCCTCAAGTCCGCGCAAAGTTCAATTTTTACGACTGCGTATGCGTACTCGGTGTCGCACAACAAACTGCCCGGTGACAGATTCTTTTGTATGCAACACCAATGTATTAAATTCCCCTTCTTCATCCCTGCTCTGGTTTAATTGCCTTTTGTTTATTTTTCCAAGAGGCAAGCGATAACTCTGGATGCTAGGAAACAGCTTGTAACTGGATGCTGTCTGTCACGGTGCGCTAAGATTTATAACTGGCTGTAACTACCATACCCACCCAGTATTCACTGGTTAACTGGGTAGCTCAGGAGTTAGTATATGTAGTTGTTAAGAGTGCCAATTAGAGGTGGAGAGTAGATCAGTACATTTAGTTTGGTTACTGTAATAAAGGCCCGTAGAGAAACTTAGACGTGCACTTGTCTGCACATCACTTGTGAACAGGTGGGCAAATAATAATGAAATAAAATGAATAATAATAATAATATTGAAATAATATTGAGCATGGACTTTGTTGTTAACAATGAAACAAACTGGTGGAAGTTCTGGTGATGAACAGGAGCCACTCTGAGGTGAAGTTAGGAATGAAGCTGCAGCTCCTGTTAGCTCCGACAGTCAGACCTGCAGCCTGTGGTGGAACAAGTTTCAACAGATTTGTTTGTGAGTCAGTGAACGGTGTTGCTAATATTGGTTAGCTCTGCAGAACTCTACAGCCTGATGTGATCACAGAGAGCATCATTAACGCCCACGCTTACATTTGAACAAAGTTTATGTTTGGGCGGTGGCAGCATTGGCACACTTTCAGAGTTCTTAGTTCTGTTTCTGAGTATTGTCCTGTGTTCTCACTCACACATTCCTCCTCCTGAATGAGCTGAACCAACTTCTGCAAGACTTCATCCAGAACCCTGCAGACACAAGCCGTGGAGACAAACAGAAAAGAAGGGTGTGAGCTTTATCCTGCTGCTAGAGTCTTGAGCAGCAGCAGCCACAAAACACACAAAGAGGTAAAACTAGCTTTTTGCTCATGTAGCTCCTTCATGTTCACATCCACTCACACTCAGAACAAACATAAACTACAGAATGTGACATGGCAGCACCTGCTTTTGATGTTGAAGTTCTTGCCCAGATGGAGGTGTTTTAGGGAGGGGTGTCTGGAGAGTGCAGGCAGTACTGTGAGCAAATCTGCATCCAGTCCTGTCAGCACACACATTTGCAGGTGTCAGCACGGCATGATCCGGTAGTAACTCACTCAGTCCTATCCTACCACAGGACAAAAGTCAAGGTCACAGCAGGAAGTGATGTAACAGCGCATCCTGGTACCGTTGTCGGAGACATCCAGAGTGGCGACTGTGGAGACCCTGGGGAAGAGCTCCTGGATGACAGCAGCTCCTGCAGATCTCAGCTGAAGGGAGAGACAGAAGGAGGGGAATTGTTCTGTGCACATGCATGAATGAGAGTCATTTTGGCTTCAGTCTCTGGGGTTTGGTCTATTTGACCATATGTGAATTTATGATCGTCTGAAGCTCGTTACAGTCAGTGAGCTTTGCTTTGGTTGTGATCTGCTGTGGAACACGCTGCACTTTCATTTTATTCAACCCTAAAATATTGTTGAAGTTAAATCTCCTTTAAAAATCCAGGGCACAGAAGGGAAATAGATTAATCTTAATTAATAAGCCACTAGTCATATTTATTGCTGTTAAAACTGATAAGTTAAATCAAAAGTGGCACAAAGAGGCAACTGCGTCTTGTTGAGAATGTTTCGAGGCAAACACACGGTGTGACTGATCCTTCTGATATCTAACACCAGTAAAGTATCTCGGGGTTTTGTTCACGAGGGAGGGAAGAATGGAGCGTGAGAGTGACAGACGGATTGGTGCAGCGTCTGCAGTGTTACGAACTCTGTGCCGGTCCGTTGTGGTGAAGAGGGAGCTGAGCCGTAAGACAAAGCTCTCTGTTTACTGGTCAGTCTATGTTCCTACCCTCACCTGTGGTCACGAACTCTGAGTGGTGACTGAAAGAATGAGATCGTGGATACAGGTGGTTCAAATGAGTTTCCTCTGCAGAGTAGCTGGACTCTCCCTTAGAGAGAAGTTCAGTTATCAGGAGAGACTCGGAGTAGAACCGCTGCTCCTCCACATCGAGAGGAGCCAGTTGAGGTGGTTCAGGCATCTGGTACGGATGCCCCCGGACGTCTCCCTAGGGAGGTGCTTTGGGCACGTTCGACAGGGAGAAGACCCCGGGGAAGATCCAGGACACGCTGGACAGACTATGCCTCTCAGTTGGCCTAAGAACGCCTTGGGGTCCTCCCAGAAGAGCTGGAAGAGGCTGTGGAAAGAGATGTCTGGACCTCCCTGATCAAGATGCTGCCCCCGAGACCCGACTTCAGAACACGTGGAAGATGATGGATGGATAAAGTAGCCTTTGATTTACATGACCAACATTTAGAACAAACACAATGTTTTAACCAGCCAACATGTTCAAATGTAATATGTTTGTTCCCTGAGTGCAGCTCTTGGTATTGTAGTGAACTTGACCTGATGTCAAAACTGTCATTTCATTGATTTGAATCCAGAAATACAGGTTCATCCATCCTGAGACTTTCTTTCTTGAAACTACAAGTGAAAGAACACTCTCTTTTCTATTATCATTACTATTTTACAAATGTTGATAATCAAAGTGTTTTAGTTCAAACCATTTTAGATGTTGCAGTGAACTTATCAATTTTTATTAACTGTGAAACAGTATAATGATTTTTTTAGTTGCTTATGCAAAGTTAGAATTCATGTTAAGGCCTGTTACAGAGTAATTATGCATTTTCTGATTTTCTGTCTGTGAATGAGCAAGTGTAAGTTTTCTCCAAGGTCGGAGTCGAAGCAGACAAGTGTTGGAACGAACTGCCTTGTTTTTAAATCCTCTCAGACGTAAACAGAGAAGTTGGCACCTGTTTCTCCAAACTCGCCCAAACATTTCTCTCGCCTGTCTGGGAAACATCTTCAATCTGTTCCATAACATTCTTGCTGGTTTATGACTTTCCATAACACCTTACATCACAAAACACACCCCTGTCTGGTTGATATTGACCAATCAGAAACTCTCAAATGAACCGGAAATAGAGCTCTTTAAAATGTCGGTACTTCCTAGTTCTCCCAGTTCCTGAGATGGTCGCAGTTCTGTGAAGTGGCTGTTCTGTGAGTTGCCGTTGGAGTTGGGCTGGAGAGTTTGCAGCTCCAGTCGTTTGGGAGAACAGAAGTCCAGCCATGATAAGGCTCTTCCGAGTTTGGGATTATAACATCTTCCACCTCTGAGTGGAACTTCTGAAGAACCCCACTCATGTGAAGTCCACCCGTTGAGGTGAACTGTTGTTGACGAAGTCCCATCACCACTCCGGATATATCTCTGCCATCCTACGGAGACGCTGAAAGGTAGCGTTAACTGGAGCTCCTCTTCACTGATTCATCGTCAGAGAGGTAAATGAGCCTAGTCCACTACTGAGCGTACCGAGGAAAGCTGGGTCGGATGGAGGGTGTCGTCCTCTCAACACTTTTCACTCATACACACCACATTCTCCCTCATCCATCTTT